GTTAACATTAGCAGTCATAACACTAAGGCCTGTTATATTTTCCACCCTTTCCTCTTCTCCTCCCGTGGTTCACCACTTGATTCGTTACATCTATGTGTCTTCTTTACAGTACCTTCCCATTCGCCTCCCTTCTTGCGATGGCGTCCCTCATGACCCCCCCTCCCCACCCCTCCCCTCACCCATCCTCTCAGTTTTTTTTCCAGTCCTCTGTGCCGGCGTCAGTACGTCATCCGAATCTGACGTAGCTGCCCGTTTCCTCGTAACGTTCTTATCCTCCATGTCAAGATCCGAGGAAGCCTCACGGTGTACCTCAACATCCACCTCACAATGAGGTATGAAGTCTCCCGATGTCCCAGTCTCGTCGTCCTTCTGCCGAGTCTCATATTGTTGACAATCCGGACTCAAAAAGTCTCCAGCTACATCTTCCGGAGACGGAGCTTCCACCACTTGCAGTGACAAGGTCCTTAAAACTTCGTCTAAATCCTCACCTATACTGAACACGTCATGCCGGGGTACCAATCCAGCAGATGGTATCGGCAACGACTCAGGTGCAGGGAGCTGAGGGGAGGACTCACTCTCATTTCGAAAAGCCTGGTCTACCATCTCACTCCACAAACGACCACGCCCTTCCTCTGACGAACGATGCTCACCTTCATCATGTGTGACTGGGGCTACTTCTTCTTGCACAGGTTTGGTCATGCGTCTGTTCTTTTCACATGCCGCCGCTATGTGGTCATACTCTCCACAAATGCGACACGTACGCCGCTGTCGAGGATATAAAACCATTACCTGTGTCCTAAAATCTTGAAGATACACATATGACGGTATGGGTTGACGCAACGTCATCTTAAGGCTGAATGTACCTTCCGGCATACCTGCGTAGGCACCCATTATCCACTTACCCTGCTGAGCAGAGTGCACAGTTCCATATTTCTCAAAGACGTTTCTGATGTCAGCTTCGTTCGCCTCGAAGGGGACATTCCGCAACTTTATCCAAGTATAATATCGAGACACATCCACCAGTCTCACACGCACAGCAGGCGTAACGTCAAAACACACATCTTGAAAGTGCCTAACCACCGATTCATAAACTGTCGCAGCAAGCAGTTTCACAAATACTCTATGCGCTCCGTTCAGCGCTACCCCATACAATTCACCATCTTGTATGCCGTATGTCTCCCTGATTATCTTGGGTAAGAGTATTTGAGCTGAACTAGGTGTAATCGCACCTCGAAGTAGTTCAATACCAATAGTATTAATGCGTCTGCGATGACAAACCGCCATCTTAACACCAGTAATTTCCCAGCAGTGTCAACAGAGACACAACACCTCCTCGTACCACTGCTGTCAGGTTACTGAGGAGCGTCAGGCAAGGGGGTCTACACAGCCCAAGAGCGATGCAGACAATGTATTATTATTATATTTTTTTATGATTTTATGTATTATTATTATAGTAGTAGTAGTAGTAGTAGTATGGAAAGTTTTAAAGCCATAAGGGTCATACAGTTTACTTGCTCATTGCTCCCTCCTCCTGTAGGATGCTTATTGTAGCCCTGAACTGGCTAAACAATGCACATCAATACTCATAAAACTAATTCGAAAATCAAAACAAATGTATTACAAAAATAGATTTATTGAAATAAAAGGCGATATGAAAAGTACCTGGCAAACCCTCTCCCAAATTTTGGGCTCTAGGAAACCGTCTGGTTACATTGAGATAAACTTAACTAAACCAGATGAACCTCACATACAGCCTATAGACACGGCCAACAAATTTAGTATCTTCTCTACTGTAGCATCAAAGCTAGCAAGTAAAATTCCTAGCTCAAATACCCAGCCGAAAGACTACCTCACTGGCAACTACCCATATACTATATATCTAGCTCTGACTAATTATACTGAAGTCTCGCTCATCATTAGATCATTAAAAAACAAAGCAGGAGATCTGAATAACTTGCCACCATTCATATACAAAAAAGTTGCACATGTGCTGTCACCCATTATTACAACAATGTTTAATATATCTGTAGGGTCCTCAACCTTCCCATCTATACTCAAGACAGCAAGGGTTAGCTGACTTGAACAACAATAGACCCATATCAAACTTGCCCTAACCTAACCTAAAATATTCGAAAAAATAATACACAAACGATTTTACTCCTACCTTATATCCAACAATATACTTAACCCCTGCCAATCTTGGTTAGACCAAACAAAAGTACGAATGATGCTATTATACAAATGCTTGAACTTATATACACAGCTCTCGATAAAAATGAATATCCTCTGGGGGCTCTTCACTGACTTACGAAAAGCATTTGATACAGTCGACCACAATTTCCTGCACCTAAAACTAAATCATTATGGCATCAGAGGACATTCTCTTGATTACCTAAAAGCTTACCTTAACGAGACACCAGTATTTATATGCAAATGGAGTCAACTCCACTATCCAGCCTGTATCTGTAGGAGTACCCCAGGGTAGTGTCCTAGGCCCACTCCTCTTTCTCATCTACGTACATCAATGATATCCCCAGTGTATGCCAACTACTTAAACCAGTTCTATTCGCAGATGACACTACTTATGTCTACTCCCATTCAAATCCAACTGTACTTAGAAACACTGTAAACACCAAGCTCTTAAAAATATATACTTGGATGATGACCAACAAACTCTCAATATAGACAAAACATACTTCATGCTGTTTGGCAACAGAGCCTTAAATATCCAGCGTAATATATCGACACACTGAGGGTAAATTTCGTCTCCTTGACTGTAATCTTAAATTTTATTTCCACATCCAATACATATCCAAGAAAATTTCCAAATCAGTAGGAATCCTTTCCAAGATACTATACTAAGTACCACAAACAGTACTCCTTACCTTATATCACTCTTTAATATATCCTTGCCTTGCCTATGGTATTTGTGCCTGGGGATTATTACAACCCAGGAGTCCAAATGGCCTGTTATCCTGGGTGTAAAGGGAGCAAAATAAACACAGCAGAAAAGTTTTGAATTATGTTATCCTTCACCAGCAATATGTACACTCAATAGTGCACTCCACGGTAAGCAAGGCAGAATAGAAGCCACAAGAAAGCAGACCATGCTTCAACCAGCTCTAAAATGGGAATGACAAGGGCAGACAGGAGAGTGGTACCCACATAACCTCTGCAATTGCCAAAACCATCTTCTTATTGGCTGGAACCTGGTCACTAGTTGAACGACGGGGCCCCATCGTCAACTCCCAGTAACCTGGTTCACTGGTTGGGGAAGATAGCCTGTAAATGAGGGTGTGTACATGCGCCGAATAAAGGTTACATACTCTTTGCATGCCACAGGGATCAACCACAGCCAACCACCTTAACCTTTAATAACCTAAGAAAAAGTTGCTGTGCGGATGAATACCAGTCCCTGTGCTAGACGGCACATCCCACCACTTTTTAAAAGCCTCAACTTGCTAAATATGCCAGACATACACTCATACAAATGCACTGGAAAACGTACAGAGGATTACCAAGCTGATCTCATGTATCAGAAATCATCCCTATGAGGATAGGCTGAAGACCTTGAATCTGCACTCTCCAGAAAGGCTTAGAATTAAGGGGGATATGATTCAGATGTATAAATGGAAAACAGGAATGAATAAAGGGGATGTAAATAGGGTGCTAAAAATATCTAGCCAAGACAGGACTCGCAGCAATGGTTTTAAGCTGGAAAAATTCAGATTCAGGAAGGATATAGAGTTATGGATGAGTGGAAAAAACTCCCGAGTACCGTCATAGAAGCTAAGACGTTAGATAAATACATGAGTGGGTGTGGGTGGGTGTGAGTTGGACCTGACTAGCTGGTGCTACTGGGCCAGATGCCATGCTCCTTCCTTAAGCAGAGGTGACCTGACTGGGTGAGCCATTGGTCTAAGTCTGGGGTTGACATGGACCTGCCCAGCATGGGCCAATAGGCCTGTTGCAGTGTTCCTTCTTTCTTATGTTTTATATTACTGTACCTTCTACATATACAGAACATTAAATTTCACTATAAACCCTCCACTTAAACTACTCATTGACAGTTACAACAGAATGCTCATTCACAATACAAGGCATGAGACACTTTAACATCCCTCGTGTCAGTCTCACACTATGCAAAAATGCTATGCACATAAAAGGCCCAAAGATCTGGAACTTGCTACCGGAACCGGTAAAGGATCCCCTGACTACTTATAAATTTAAGACTGCTAAAAATCATCTTATTTCTCAATAGTAAGCAAATAAACCAAAACAACTGCTAACTAGTTATTTTATGTGGCCTCTATACTTTTAAACTTCTGCCAGTCCATAAAATATTAGTGACTGAACCATTAATTGTAATAGTTTTATTTTATGCAACTTCAAGATCATTATTCTTATAAACTTCCACATTGACTACCTCGCATTAGTATTAAGATTAAATATGATTGTAATCAAGTAAAACACTTGTCTAGTTTTAAGCAGTTACTATATATTAGGATCAGTCTGCCCGACATGATAGTGGCTTTCTTTCTACTTAGCAAACCAAAATTGTAATTACATATTGTAACCTTTACAAAGAAATAAACCATTACTGTTACTGTCCTCTTAATCTATTTATATCAGCTGCTGGCCTGGATAGAACATTACCGTTTCTGTTACCTTAGATTAAACGGTTATGTGATGAGGATTCATCTATAATAATTTTTTGAGAATAAGTGCCGCTTCCTGTGCCTTTCTCTTAACAATTAATTAAATGGTGTGATGAATTCCTAAACATCTCATATTTTCACTTTAACGTGTGTATGGAGTTTATCTACACTAATTCATTCTTGGTGAATTGCACACACTCATATCTCCTCACACTGAAGATGTTCTTACTGTCCTCTGATATATTCCAGTGTTCGAGTTTGTGTGTGTGCTCTCTTGTTGCATGCCGAAGTTTTGGAGCGTAAAGTGTCAAAGGTAAACATTCAAGCAGTATTTCTCCACAGACTATCTGGATTACCAAACAAGAAACAGCGACCGCCAGATGCCCTTCCTTTTTACTTGTCCCCTTCCGCCTAAGGTGGCTCACCTTCAACCAGCTGCCGTCTCCCTCGTCCACCAACCCTGCCAACCTGCCACCACCCTCCTCCAGGTAATCTGCCACCACCCTCCTCCAGGTAATCTGCCACCACCCTCCTCCAGGTAATCTGCCACCACCCTCCTCCAGGTAACCTGCCGCCACTACCCTCCTCCAGAAAATAGAAATTCTCTGAAACTTGCAATATATTTATCACCCAGTCGTACTTTGACTTTTGGAGTGTCTAATGTGAACTGTAATATACTTTTCCTTCTGATGGAGTGAAGATTTCCTGAAAGACGAAGAGCTAGTTCAACGGTATAAATGTTTGTCATTCTAATTTAGTACAGAGCAGGTGGATACTCCAATATCACCGAAATTGAACAGTGGGTATGCTGCTGTTCATAATAGGTAATAATAATGTAATCAGTGTGGTTAGATATGTTACGGGTTTCCGTAGCTCGATTGCTAGCACACTCACCTCACACACTGAGGTCCGGAGATCGAATCCCCGGTACGGCTGGAAAACATTACGTGTTTCCATAAGACACCTGCTGTTCATGTTCACCCATCAGTATAAAATGGGTACCTGGGTGTTAGTCGACTGGTGTGGGTCGCATCCTGGGACAAAAATGACCTAATTTGCCCGAAATGTTCAGCATAACAAGGGGCTTTCTATGCAGTAGTATGTCACTGATGTCAGCTATGATCTGTATACCTTGTACATGTACTTGTAGTAAATAAAGATATTATATTATTATTATTATTAGGACGTATTTCCTTAATGGCATTCAGAATTTTTTATGTACATTAGATACCCAGAAAATACGTGAAGAAAATTAAGACATATTATGTTCTTTATACAAAATAACTTCCACATCTAATTTGTTAGTTTTCTAAAAATGACTTCATTTTTTTTTATTTTGGATCTCCAAGTCTAGGCAGAGCGCCATAAAGTATCTCTTGACAGATGTTAAAGGTTTCAGGGGCCAGATTCCAATATTTTTCCAAATTACAACAAGATTTGGTGAGATGTACATAGTTGATATTGTCTTCAGTCACAGCAAAAATTAATCCAGAGCCTAAAGTAGCTTCTTGATCCCGATTAAGCTTAGTATTTCATAGATTTAAAACATAATCGGGATTAGCTTGTTGGGACCAACCACTTTGTGTTATAAGATTTTTAAGCTACTGGCATGGTAATATTTCGGTCTTTCACCTCATCACTCTTCGTTCACTGTACACATGGTAAAGTAATTGATTCTGTCAACTCACAGCAACCATGTTAGAAAATACGATCTGCGTTTCTATTCATCTTCCTCTCATGTCTTAACATATCGATATTTTTACGAACTAACCTTTGAAATTGATCAAACAGTGTTGAGACAAGGCACACACACCATCCTGCTCTGGAGCAGCAATTTTGTAGAACCTGTTCAATGAGACACTTACATAAAAACACTAATCTGAGCAAAGTTTTGCGGGAAAAGTTGTGGGGGGGGGGGGAGTGGTACGTGCAGGGTGCGGAGAAAAAAAATAGAAAAATATTAAAATTGAGTTAATTGTATAGAAAAATAGCTTAACACTGTGGCAACACTCTGGTATAAGTATCACTGTTGTACGATGTTCCTACAAGGAATTATATAATCAAATAAAGCGCTAAACCGACAAAGGTCATGCAGCACTGCAGGGCAGAAAATAGTGCCAGGGCTATAAACAGCTAGATGGAGAAAGGATCAAAGGTGAGGGGAGAAAAGGGCTGTAAGGGATGCTAGGGGTTCGGTGTCAAAGTTCGTATAGTAAAGCACTTGCTGACAGTCAAAAAGTGATCGCAAGTCAAAGGCAGGACCGACTGCAAGGACGGAAGATTAAGTAGGGCTGCAGCAGTCGGAGGTAAATCCTGTGAGCTCGTTGGTAAACCGGACAGTCCACAAGTGAAGAACTGAAATAGGGACCCGACACACTTCATAGAGAGGAATAGGGTGTCGTTCCATGAGATACTCATGGGTAAGGCAAGTATGGCTGATGCAGAGAAGGGAGAGTGCAGTCTCCCAAGTACAGCAATGGTAGTAAGAAGATGGCTACAAACCCAAAATCGGTTTAACAGAGTGTAATTTGTTATGGTGCATGTCTGACCACCGTTGTTGCTAACGGCTGTGAAGATGGGCAGAGACGACTGTAAAATAGTCCGGAAACCGGAAGATCATGTACCGCCTGTTTATTGCCCTGTACATCAACGTGTCCAAGGACCCAACAGAAAACGACGTCTTTGTTTTTGCTAGCTACTCTGCACAACCAAAGCTGAATAGGAAGGACCAATGGATGAGGAGAATCAAATTGTTTAATGGCCTGTAAAGCACTTAGGGAATCTGAAATTATCACAAACGCCAAAGAAGACATATGAAATATGGAGAAGCACTGTGAGGATGGCATACAACTTGGTGGTAAAAATATTAACTGAGACTACCAAATGACCCAGATCATCATCAGGGAACATCGCCGCAAACCCAACACCATCAGAACATTTAGAACCAGCTGTACAAACAGCGACAGCATTAGCATGCAACCGGAAGTGATCAAAAAAAGAGTGAGAAGCAGCTGTAGGTAGGAGAGCTTTGGCGTACGGCATTAATGGAGAACAGACACAAACTGTCGGAACCTCCCAAGGGGAAAGGGAAAAGTCAGACGATACATGAACATACACGGGAAGTAACTAGAGAGAAGACTGGAGTGAAGACGAAGAGAAAACGGTCGGAGTAAGCAGGGTTACCGAACAAATAACGGGCTTCTACTAACGTCTGAGACCAACCTATGCATAGAAGGAACACGAAGATCATAAGAGCAGACAAACTAATGAAAGCAATGAGCATCACGACGATCAGCTAAGGACATTCGCCTCATGGGATGAACGAAAGGCACCAAGGCATAAATGTAGACCCTGATGTGAAGGGGATCTTAGAAAGAGTTGTAAGAGAAGCCACACAATAGATTTAGTCACCATAATCCAGCATGGACAAGACTAGGGTGGAATGCAAATGGAGGAGAGTCCAGCGATCTGCTCATGAATGATGTGCAAGAATTTTAAGGAGATTCAGCTGACCATGCAAGTTGCCTTCAAAGAGGAAATGTGAGGTTTCCATGTCAACCAGCGATTGAATGAAAGGCCACGAAATTTGATTGTATCACATTCTGGGATACGTGAGCCGTGTAAGTACAATGAAATATCTTGGACAAGAGGATATCTAGTAAAGGTAATGAAATGGGTTGTTACACTAGAAAAATTAAATCCATGAGAAGTGACCCAATGGTAAACATGGTCAATCACATCCTGAAGGGAGCTGCTACCAGGCGACAGTCAGCATCTGCATAAGCTCTAGCGAAGTCATCCACATAAAGTGACGACCAAATATGCGATGGAAGAATGGAAGGTAGGATATTTATAGCTAAGAGAAAAAGGGTAGTGCTAAGGACACAACCTTGTGGGACTCCCTCGGCCTGAACAAAGTCTGAGGAAAGCGAAGCGCCAACACGGACATGAAAATGTCTTTCAGACAAGAAAGCAGCAAGGAAGGTCGGTAGATTACCATGGGGGCCTAAGGAGTGGACCTGGGCTAAGATGTTATACTCCAAGTGGTGTCATATACCTTCTCGAGATCAAAAAGACTACTAGGATGGAGTGTTTTTAGCAAAGGCATTTCGCACATGCGTTTCTAATTGGAGCAAGGGCTCCAAAGTAGAGCGGCCCTTGCAAAAGCCATAATGGTGAGGAGAAAGACTACTGAGTCTCTCTAAATACCATATCAGACGTCTATTCACCAATCTTTCCATCATCTTGCAGAGTACACTGGTCAGAGCAATGGGACGATAGAGGTATCAAGCCCTAAAGTGCCTGGTTTGCGAAATGGTAGTACAATGGCTGATTTCCATTGTTGAGGGAGAACCACTCACATCCAAACAAGATTGAAAAGATGCAAAAGGACTGCAAGGGCTGTAGAATGCAGATGTTGTAGCATATGGATATATCATTGGCCCCAGCTGCTAATGACCGGCAAGTGGAAAGCGTGGACTCTAGCTCTAAAAGAATAAAAGAATGTTATATTGCTCCATCGTATTGGAAGAAAAATCCAAGGGTGATTGCTCCCTGGCAGACTTAGAAGCAAGAAATGAGGGACAGAGGTGTAGCCATTGGGAACATGGACAGGATAGTTCCCTATTTCCATGGCAACTTCTCAAGGTTCCGTAACACTAACACCAGCAACCTGCAAAATGGGAGCCGAGTCTGAAACATTCTTGCCACACAGCTTCCGTACCTTCTTCCAAACCTCACACATAGGGAAGTCGAGGTAACAGTAGAAATGTAGTCTTGCCAACAAGTGCGTTTAGCATCACATATGATGCGGTGAGCGACTGCCCTTGCCCTCTTAAAAAACAAAAAACGATCTGCAGCCTATTATATTGATAACGGCCCCACACAGCACATTTCAAATGCACTGCACGGGCACACACAGAAGACCACCAAGGCACACATGAGAATGCCTGCCTGAGGTTCGAGGAATAAAATGTGATGATGCAGTCAAAACTAAGGTCGAAAGCTGGTGCACCAGCTCATCAATAGAGGACAAAAAAAAGGTCCTCAGAAAAAGCGGTAAGATGAGAGTATAAGTTCCAATTCACTTGTCCAAATTGCCATCGGGGGCTATGAGGCGGTTGGGATTACGCAGCAGAAATAAGAATAATAGGAAATTGATCACTGTCATGAAAATCCGGGAGAGCAAATCAAGCGTAATCAAGGGCAACTGACGAAGAACAGATATGCAAGGGAGAGAATGAGTGCGAGTTAAAATAGTAACAGCATCCATATTTAAAACATGAAGAGGATGAAAAATGAGAAGAGTCTCCAACTGATCACCAGAGTCACAGGGAGACCCTCCCCAAATATGATGGTGAGCGTTAAAATCACCTAACAAGATGAGCGGTGGCAGAGAAGAGATTAAGAACACAACATCCGAGACACAGAATGCACTGCACGGGAATAAATATGGTCTGCAGTATAATGCAGCTGAGAACGAACAAAG